AATCCATTTACATTTAGAGTGATTATTGAGATGTGGGGGCCTACCACTACCATTTTGTGTCTTGTTTTCCGGTTTTCTTCAGTTTCCTTTGTTTCTTGTCCCATGGTTTAATCTGTTCTGATGTAGAGCTGCTACTCTCTGTTGTTGTCCTTCTACTTATCTCCTCTGCTCTTGGTTTTGTAGCCCCTTTCCTTTTTTGGATTTTTCAGGAATGAGGGTATTCCTGAGGATTTCCTGAAGAGGAGGTTTTGTGGCAATGAACTCCCTTAATTTTTGTTTATCTGGGAAAGTTTTTATTTCTCCATCGTATTTGAAGGATATTTTCACTGGGTTGAATTTCTTTCTTTTATACAAAACCAACTTGGGTTCTCAAAATGGAGATATAAAGCGTTTTTATCCCCCAAATGTAGGATCTTATTTACATCAACTGAATCATATGTTTAAAGTAGTGGGAAAGTTTACTGCGATCACATAGTCATCTTGCTTAACCCATTGATTAAACAAACACCACAATATTAGTGAGGGACTTACTATACGGAACGATTGTAGATAACGACAATTGAAAGGCAACATTTATATTCCTTCCACGCTTATTATTATAGTAATTAAAAAGCTTTTAGTGAGTTCATGATCAAAGTGTGGGTCAAAATACGTAACGCACAGTGTTACGTCACTGTAACCTCTTTTCATTGGTAATTAGCGTCTAGGGTAATTAAACTCAGAATGAAGTGTGTAGTACGTGTAGCCCCTCACAATTCATACGGTTCAAGCATAAGCACACTCCTAGGGAGAGAAGAAATAGGCGTTTCCCATCAGCTGGAACAAAAGAAGCTGTTTTCTTCTAAGAGAATTAGGAAGATTTGGTCAAGAAGATAAATACCAACAATACTTAAATATTTTTAAACCGAAACTGAAATAGCTACCTATTTACAGTTTTAAAAGCTATTTACATTATCTTGTTAGAGCCTTGCACAGTCCCTGCCATGTAGAGGGGTTGGCGTCCCCACTTTACAGACAAGGAAACTAAGTCAGGGGGATTAAATAACTTTTGGAAAGGGTTTAAAAATTCCTTTTTGAAAGAATGTTAAGGGTGAGTTGTGAAATTCCTAGAAAGTTAAACTATATCAGTCTTAAATATTATATTTTGTTAGGGAAAACTATACCTTACAAAACTCCTTTTCCTCCCATGCAGTAAAAAGGCATCTAATGCTGGACTGTCCCTGTCGACTCAGCACCTACTGTGTGCCAAGTTCCATACTAGGGATGTTAGGTATTTCTATCTGATTTCATCCCAACAACAATTGTCTAAAAAAGCTATTATAATCCTATTTCAGACAATAAAATTAGGTCAAAACAATGTCAGCAACTTGTACAAATCACACAGCACAACTGGGACTGGAAACAAATTCTGAGTTTCTTCAAAGCTGGGCTCACTCTACTATTTCATGCTGTGAATTTTGTTTCCATGGTTTTTTTGGTGTTTTTTTTTTTTTTTTTGAGGAAGATTAGCCCTGAGCTAACTACTGCCAGTCCTCCTCTTTTTTTTTTTTTTTGCTGAGGAAGCCTGGCCCTGAGCTAACATCCGTGCCCATCTTCCTCTACTTTATATGTGGGACGCCTACCACAGCATGGCATGCCAAGTGGTGCCATGTCCATACCCGGGATGTGAACTGGCAAACCTCAGGCCACTGAGAAGCGGAACGTGTGCACTTAACTGCTGCGCCACTGGGCCGGCCCCTTGTGTCCATGTTTTAATTCAAACTTTTACTTGCCTGATAGCTTTAAGATTTACTTCATTTCCTTTATGCTCAGATCACATAAACTTATGCTAACTAGCAGTGCAATTTATGCACTCAGATTATTTGATTTGGTTTTCATTCGAGAGCCTCTTTCTGTCCCTTAATCTACAATTAGGGACAAACGTTTTTTCAGAATGCCATTTATGGAAATGCCACATGGAAGCAGTTCTGTTGGGATTCCTTCGGCTGTCCCGTCAGAATGTCAGAATGTGACTAACCGGAGAAAGCACTGGGTGGCAAACCGGTCATCTCGACCCCACCCTATCTTCAGTTCACTTCCTCGGCTCAGCGACTGCTCTCTGTGAGGCTCCACTGCTGTGTTTGAAATAATTCTAAAAGGAATCAAGACAATGTCAAAAACAGAGTATCGAATAAACATTTGGGTAGTCTGGGTTTGCTGTCCTCGTTTGTGTTAATCCCCAGAGACACTAAGCACAGGCTTGTCTGTAGCCAGAATGAAGGCAGCTTCCTCAGCACTGAGCACATGAAAAAGAGAGAACTTTTTGTTCCATTGCTTTTCTTTATTTCATTTATGTGAAATAGGAATGGTGAAGTATTTCTTCTTCCTTTATAAAAGTACAGCTTTGTTTCTCTTTATAAAATGAATTACACATTCACTGTAGAAAATTTAGAAAATATATATAAGCAAATAGAACAGAACAAAAACAGCCTTTAATCTCACTACCCAATATTTTAGTTTCTATCTTCGAAGCCATTTTTTTTTTGGTCTCTCAATTTTTTTTTTTCCACTACCCAAGTGCTATATGATCAAGTCTATTTTCTAAGCCTCTGTAATGATTTTCTTTCTGAAGATTTTGAGTTCTGCTTTTATTCCACTCTTTTCTTTAAGATCTACTGTACTCTGTTTTAGAGAGCAGGGAACAGACGATTTGAAATATTTACATTTTGTGATGACTCAACATCTCAATTTATTACACAAAAGACAGTACTTTCTATATCTGCCCTCCAAGTCTTTAGAATTCACACGTTAAAACGAGAACTTTAGAAAACTGACTTTACTTCATCTGACGTAAAAATGGAAGAGACAGTAGCCTGTTAATGGAGACTTCTAGCTCGCCAATCTTCCATTGTCACCATTTTTTCACTTTCAACTGCAATTCTAAATTTCCTTTCCTGTTGTTCCGTACGTTACTACATTCGCAGCCCTGTGTTTCTTCTTTCAAAACTACTTTTTCTCCTTCAGCTTTGGCCAAAGCAGAAGGTCGCCCTCATCTGGGAGAGTGATCTAACGGAGTAAGGTGATGATGCCCTTCTATGAGCAGTAAGAGGAAGTGTGCGTGAAGATGTGGGAGACAGGAAACGCACTGAAAGGGGGACGTTTAGATCGGATGATGCCAAGGGTTTGCGTTCAGTGTGGTTGCTAGGCCTCTTGACCATTAGTGTGGTACAGTACTCTGGAATCACCCGGGGAGTTTTAAAATTTCCTTCTCCTGAAGACTTGGGTGTTACTGGTCTGGGATGGCGTGGACGCTGGGCTTTTCTAAGTCCCCAGGTGATGCCAATGCAGTCAGATCTGAGAAGCATTATTTTAGAAGGGGCCATGTACATTCACCTGTGTAAATGAACACAGGGAGCGCTTCCTGCCTGAAGACCAGTAACAATTGACATACCTTAGGCTCCTTCAGCACAGGGCCACCATACACAGGTATGGAGTTATGCCTTGCACAGAGGTGCCTGGCAGAAGGGATAAGTAGAGCCTGAAATTATAGCCCACTCTTTGCTTGCTAGGCAATCTGCACTCTGACTCAGGGCTGTATCTCCTGGACAAAGTGAGCTCCTTTTACTAATTTGCACAAAGCAACTGTACGAGTTAGCCTGACACTGCCTCTGTACTGTCTTTTCACCCTGCTTGGAGACACACTGCCTTTCCATTAAACTATTTTCTGACTTTAACTTTCTCACTAATTCCAAACCACTAGCTTCTTCAAAATTAATATTTTCCATTTTTGTCTTGAAATGAGCACATATATATGTGGCAGAGACAACATGGGAAAAATCTGCAAATTCCAGTCCATTGACGTTTCTGTAATAAGTTAGTTTTTAGCCATCTGAATTAGATTAATTTGGAGACTATGAAAAGCAATAAAAGTGAGAAATCTCAAGAAAGACAAACTTTATAATGGTTCTATCTCAGGGCTAACTAGTTGGCTCCCATGTTTAGAATACCATGATAATGAGCCAGATTTATAATTTCAAACCCACAGTTTGCATAACACAGGGGAAAACTATTCCATTGTTGCAGACTGAAACTCTTTTGACGACCAGTTTGTTCTTTAGTACAAGTTGGAAAGAAGTCAGGATACTTCATACTCATCTCCTTTACTGGAAAAACCTGTATGTGACCAGATGGGAGCACATTTAGCAAATGTCAGCTCCATTGTAATTAGAAAGATCATCACTACTAAGCAGTAGAAGATACATCCGGATGAATTTGCATTGTGATGTGGACCATAGTCAATAAGACAGAAAACCTGTAATTATGTGGTTTTCTGAAGGGCTTCAACAAGAGGCTAAAGTTTTGCTAAGAAACCAACAGAACATCTGTGACCCCACCAACCTGACTCATCTGAGCGGCAGTCTGTATACTAAAGGGGTTAAATTTCACCTTCAGTGTGGATACATTAGATTGAAATGCCCAACCCAGCACCATGTGAGTTTCCAACCATGTGTTTCTGTGCAGAATGAATCACTTGTTGGGAAACAGGAAATCACTAATAAAGGCTGTTTTTGTTAATTACACATAGAGTTATAAAGAGGACAGGGAGGGCAGGGTTTTATTTTAAATCAGATTTGAACGCTACATTGAGAGCCTAAATAAAAACTAGAGTCACTGACCTTATGTGCACTGAAACGGGGTAAGTACCCCAGGAGGACTCATGTTTCAACATCCCTGCTACTAGTCCTACCCCATCTCAGAATCATCACCTCTTAGATAAAGCAATTTTTATGTAGTTAATATTAGCACAAACCCTTTTTCTGCTTGCCTGCTTCCTAGCAACCTGAAGCAGAGTGTCTGCTTCCCAATCTGCTTTTGGTAAAAAATAAGAACAGAACACCCAGCGAATTTGCCAATAGCCCTGAAGAGATGCGGATGTATTCAACAAGCTCTGTGTCGATTCGTGAGCCTGGCATGTGATTTATGTTGTCAACCATCTGACCTCGCTGCACTTTCCGCCACAGGCCAGGGAAGATGTGATCCACATGCTGAAGACCGAGAAAACCAAGCCTGAAGTTCTGGAGGCTCATTACGGGTCTGCAGAGCCAGAGAAAGTGCTGCGGGTCCTGCACCGAGATGCCATCCTAGCCCAGGAGAAGTCCATAGGAGAAGATGTCTATGAGAAACCAATCTCAGAGGTAAAACTATGACACCAAGAAGTCCCCCTAAAAGGGAACATCAGAGTGATAGCTTTGCATTCTTCCATTTTACATGCTTTCACATTTTTTTAAGGGTAAAATTTTTATGATTCACTAATATAGAATTAAAGTGTAATTAAATAACTCATGAATTATAGTGCATATATTTCAATGATAAGAATTCTAGAAGCTTTTCCTTAAATATTACTTACAGCCTGAAATGTATTTCTCCTGGGATTATGACAGTTACATGCTTTTGCAGTCTGTTATTCTTTTATTTCTCTAAGAGATGACGTGTAAAAATTCGAAGTGCTTATCGGTTTTAGCATTGAGTAGACAGGATTATTATCAAATTGGTAACCTAAAATTAAAAACTGATTTTGTGATTAATATTTATGGTTAGATAACCACTGTGTTTTGGTATCTTATAGACTCTGTCATAATTAAAATGGTCTCACGTGAATAGCTAAAATACAGTGGTTGAGGCAAAATTCCAAGAGAATGCTTAGGACAATTCTTTAAGGAGAAAAGAGGTCTAATAGGGCTAGATCTCGTCATTTTTGTGTCAGATTGTATTAGGAACTATTGACTATTGTTATAATTACCTATGATACTACATGTAAAAAATACACACACATTGTAGTAGAAATTCGATGCTGAATTAGGGAACCAGTTGATGAATCTAGCCATATTGACTCTTCAAAATTCATGTAAAAAAATTCACAGAGGCAGTCACGTGTCACTTAAAGATGAGGATGCATTCTGAGAAGTGCATTGTTAGGCAGTTTCATCATTGTGTAAACATCATAGAGTGTGCTGAAGGGGAATAAAATTTGCCACTTCAAAATGTGTCTCTTTAACATGAGGATTATTTTAGGCTGGTTTTTTTTAAGGAAGAAAAGACTCAGAAAGTTTTTCTTGTTACTCCTCTTTAACTGCCTAAAAGAATTCAGATAAAAGAACCTGTCTCAGGAAGCAGCTGTCAGCTTAGCATCACATGAACCGGGTGGTGGACAGGGAGCAACCCAGAAAAGCCTGTTTGCTGGGCTCCCCTCTGTGTCTTCTGTTTCTGTGGCCAAACACTTATTTTCCAAACGTTTGCTCCTTTTCTCCTCCCTGTGAATTGCCTTCCTTCCCTTTGAAGTCCCTGACTCTCCCTACCCCCAACATCTTCTTTTGTCTTTAGCTGAGGATGGTATTTGAGGTGAGGGCTTCAGCCATTTTGGTGAGTTACTCAGTTTTCCTTGGTTTCTTTCATGTACACATGTTGTTAAATTTTTGTTTTTCTCCTGTTAATGTGTCTCAGGTCAATTTAATTCTTAGGCCAGCCAGAAGAACCTAGAAGGGTAGAGGAAAATTTCTTCCTCCCCTACTGTACTTACACAAACCTAAATGGTTTAGCCATACACAGCCTACTACGCACCTGGTCTATATGGTACTAACTGACAAATAGAAATGGCAAGCAAGAGGATGTATTGGAGTATATGAGGAAGCCATTTGGTATAAACCTAATTCAGCCTGACTTTGTTTTTTCCAAAAGGGCCTGACTGTGGCTGTTGAGCACGCATTGTATATCTGCTTTAAACATTTCCTATGGCAAGAACAAATGGCCTTAAGATAAAGGTGCAACTTCCCGCTACATTGGCATTTCCTTAAGGATAAGCATCTTTCCTTAGGCTAGGAACGGACTGCTGCGCTCACCTGTGACCACCCAGCTCGAGACAACAGACCTGCCACCCTGCTGTGTCCACCAAGACAGCAGGCCTACCTGTTGTTTCCATCAATTGCTGTGCCAACAGAGCAGTCTTGCAACTATTGTAAAAGGGACATTTCAATTATATGTGAAACGTCCTGTTTGGGGGTATATAACCACTCTGTGCACCCCACTTCTTTGGTGCCCTTTCTTCCTTCGGGAAGAAAGGCCCTGGGCCATGGTCCTCACATTTTAGCTCAGAATAAACTCTCCTAAATTTTCATTTATAGATTGGTTATGGATTATTTTTGTCGACATAATCTTAGGGGACCACTGTTGTGTATGCAGTCTGCTGTTGACCAAAACGTTGTTAGGCGGTGCATGACTGTATCATAAATGAAAGAACACAGAAATTAAAAGTCTGAACAATTTATTATCATTTAACTTTTAACTTAGGTCAACCCTTTGCAGTAGCTCAGTTTGACAGATCTCTGACGAGGTTTGCTTTAGACAATATTCACAACAGACTGACAGTCCCATAGTTTCCTAATTTCTGCAACAAGGATAAACTGAAGCTCTGTTCGCATCTTTTCCTAAAATGTTAAGAGATGATTATATGATAGGATGCAGTCAATAGGCTGGATCCACTTTCATGTCTGAGACCCACGGTTACATGTGGCTTTGGGCAAGTCACTTCAGCTCTTTATGCCTCAGTTTCCTTATCTGCCAGGTGGGAGTAATAACAGTGCACATCTCAGAGTTGTGTTTGAAGCAATGAAATGTGAAATGAAGCAATGCCTGTAAAACTCCTAATACAGTGTCTGGTACTTCCTAGGTACTCAACAAATATTAGCCATTAGTATTTTCTGGAATTTGAGGGTGATAATTGCTAACACCCCTAATTAGTTCCAAACTTGGAGGGATTTTAGGAGTAAAAGACATATGGAGGTCGAAATATCACTTATGTGTTATTACTATAACCACCTGGATTGGGAGCTCAGTTTGGATGAATGGTACCATTTGGGTTTCCTCATTCTTTTCTCCAAGTCAGAGCTTGGGATGACCCCTCGAGCGAGAAGCAGGTCTGCAGAGCACGCACACTCACCCAGAATCACTGCCCGGATGGAGGAGCAGAGCAGAAAACACCCACCCTGTGGGTTGTCCTTTCGGAATTGGCTAAGCTGGCCATGCTTACCGGTTCCCTTCTCCCCTCAACTCAACAATCTGAAGAGTTATCCCTCCCTTGGGGAGGAGTGAGTGAGGAGGTAGAGAGAAAGACAGAAGCTACTCTTCCTAATACTGGCAAAATGGTGAAGTCCTGCTTTGTGAGATAGAAATAGAGTGCTAGAAGGAGGAAAGATTTATCTTCCACCATCTAGTGATTTTCGGTCTTTTAATAATCAAATTCTTGTTACCCAGGAGCAGGAGTCCTGCTTCCCACTTCGTGAGGCAAGAATCCCAATACATCGCTGTTCCATGAGCCTGCTGGAACCGCTAGTGGATAGTCTGGCTCCTGTTCCTAGAAGCCATGCTGCACCTCAGCCCAAAAAGTCACTGCTCATTCTCATTTCCACAGAACACTGGGCCCGGCTAGGTTGTCCACCAGAGCCCCGAGAGGTTAAGCAGTGAACCCAGCGTGGTGGACCCTCCCCTTGCCAAATATCTGGGGAGAAATTAAGCAGCAAATATTAAATCCCCTGAACTTCCTTGTAAATTAAAGCCTGGGCTATCAAAGTTCATAATTCTTACGTGAAAGTCCAAAGAAATTAATGTTTCAGTTTTTTTTTCTTCCCAAATTCTCATTCTGCTTAGCTCGGCCAGAGGGGTCTGAATCTTAAGCATTTTCAAAGTCGAAGTAATATACCCTGAAGTCCCTCCATTCCACTTGTTTTCAAAGTCTAAAGAATTACTAGGGCTCATGCCATCATCATAATACCAACCTCATACTCATACATTTTAAAAATACAAGAAAATCCCCAGCTCCACAGTCAATTTATCTCAAGTGAAATGTTATGTAGATTTCTCTCTTCCTAAATTCCTTAATGCTTCTCCAATTAGCCCTCTGCTGATAACCGAGCTAAATTTATTTCCTGAACCACGATCCTTTTGTCTAAAACATCCTGAAATTTCTCCCCATCTCAAGTCCTCGAACAACTTCTCCACCAACTTGATTCACTAGAATAAGACTTCCAGGTACACGCTTTCCTCAGTAAATTTTGGCCTTTGCTGTTATGATGATCTCATTCAATTTTCCTTCCACCTCTGTCCAAGTGGGAGCTGTATTTCCAAAGGCCGAGGTGCCCAGTTCAATTTCACTATTCATTAATAAAAGCTACCATTCCTCTATGGTGGAGCCACAGTTTGGATCCTGAAAAACAAAGGTCATGGACACAGTCCACATGATTAATGGATCTACAGAGCCCGTAGTTATGGGAAGTGGTCTTCAGAGTCTCTGTCCAAGCCACATAGATCCAAGAGGTTAGCCCAGCTCAGTTCTCTCCTGAGAGCTGGATGCAGTTCCAAAGAAAACAACAAGAAACAGGGTCTGGCACAGCTGATCTATTGCTACCTGTGTACTCACTTCTGGAATTTAAAATGGAAAGCTAGATCCTCATATACTACTGCTTTCTTGCTAAAGAGGAATTTCCTCTCTCCGTAGTTTAAAGTCTGAGTCTGCAGTCCTGTGTGAAAAATGCAGTGCACACACCAATGTCTTAGCATCCTTCATATGCAGTAAGAGACAAAAGGCTGTCTTCCTGACTATGCCATCAGTGCTGAGGTCAAGCGGTGCCTGTATAGGTGAGGTGGACATTGCCCACAGAGATCCCAGCAACTACTCCAAGGCCTCGCCTCAGAGCTGTGGCTGCTGAGAATAGCCAAGCTCAAGGGCCCACAGGGACACGACATCCTAAAGCCAAGCCTGCCCCAGGACACTTAATAGCAACATCGGCTGTTTTTTCTCCAGATGCCCGTACAATGTCTCTCTCTCTGGATACCTCAGTCAGCCATCTAATTAAGAATGCTCCCACTTCCCCTCCAGAGTCCCTTGCATGGATGGAGACATAACTGCAGGAGTCTGGCAGGTGACTTAAAGCATTTAGCTTTATCACTGGTATAAAAAGATAAGTCACCACCACGGGACTTTCTATTACTGTCCTTCTTAGGCTTTGGAGAAACCACGTGAGGGAGAGTTTGGGCCTTCAGGACACGCTGTACCATCTTACTGCTTGTGCCCGTTCTCTATCCCAAATATAACCTTCAAATAAGTCACCCCTCTTCCTCAGGAAGGAGCGAGGAGGGTATGAAGAAACAGGCAGAAGCTGCTCTTCCAAATACTTTCAAGAGGAGGGAGGGCCCTACTTTATGATAAAGTGGGAAGGATTAAAAAAGGGAAAGAGTTTCTCCTATATTTCTGATGATGATATGATGTTTCAGCAGTGCTTGACCAATCCAGAATATATGGTGAAAATCACATTTGTAGAAAGATGGGTGAGTTCTTCAGGAGAATATTTTGTAATAGGGAGATATTCCAATGAGAAAATCTCTTGTATAGACTATTCCTTGAAGACTACAGAAATTTATCACAACACATAAAAGCACAATTTGCCAGTCCCTGATGGTCTCAAGTATTATCAGCCACCAGTTAATCTGGGCTTCTCCACCAGCTGTCGGGTCACCTCTTCTTAGGCAAAGTGAGTGGAGATCCAGCCAGAAGGCACTGAGGATTAGGGGGGCAGTATCTCTGTTATTGTGGGCCCCAGAAAGGATTCATTCACAGTGAAGGTATCACACAATTGGAGAGGGAACCTCGCATCCTCCTTATGACTGAGGGGCAAACATGGGAAAGCCCGGGGGGCAGCTCTGATGCTGACACCTGTGGAGCCCCCTACTGGATGGTAGGGAGCTGGTGGTAGGCCTAGAATGGATTTTAAATAGATCTGTTTCAACTAGGGCAGCGGTTTCTCAGCTGGGAGAGGGGGCTCAGTGATTTTTCCCTCCAGGGGACATTTGGCAACATCTGGGGACAGTTTTGTTACAACTGGAGGTAGTACTACTGGCATCTAGGAGGCAGAGGCCAGGGATGCTGCTAAGCATCCACCAATGCACAGGACAGCCCCCCCCCCAAAATAAATAATTATCTGGCCTAAAATGACAATAGTGCTGAGGTTGAGGAACTCTGAACTGCCGTTTGAAGAGGAGAGGAGGATAGAGACCTTTGATACTGTAAGGTTCGGGCCGAGGTAACATCATTCACTGAACACTTACTTAGTTGTGCTCACCGTGCTGCGCCCTTGGGACTGAAAGAGTGATCAATGCATGAGCCCCTAAAGATCTGAGAGCCAGGCAGACACAGAGGCACAAACTGCCCGGTTTGTGCCCGGGAATGAGATGCGCTAAGGTCTCTGTTAGCCCAAGAGATGTGCTTTCTACAAGTTCTGAAATTCTCCCTATATTTAGCATCTTTCAAAAAAAGAGGACTGTGTGTCCTTCATATACCTTTCCTTGAAATGTACATAACTGGAAGCCTTAAAAAAAAGATTGTGATGACGATAATTACCTCCTAGGGGAGGAGCTGGCACATGTACAAGCTGAGCTCTTAATTTCTTTGAATCAGCAGGGATGGTATCCTCTTCCTGTTTTGAGCATAGAGCTTTGTGCCATCCCATTAAACCAGTGAAAGAGTTTGTTCTGAAAGTTTAGGAACCATGTGTATGTTCACAGAAAAAAGCCAGAAGGCCACAATTTACTGCCGCCTTATTACGGCTGGTTTATAAACCAGGGCCTAGAGAAAACGACGGAATGGGGAAAATGGTGGCGAATACCAGACTCGAAGGTTCTCCCCGTCAGGTAAAAAATCACTAGATCAATGAAAACCAATTATTTAGAGTCACACGCAAATGAAATAAAATATTAAGGACTTCCCCATGTTTGCTTACTCAGCTGGACAGACTTGAGGAAAAACAGAAAGAAACCTACCGACGCATGCTGGAGCAGCTCCTGCTGGCGGAGAAGTGTCACAGGCGCACGGTGTACGAGCTGGAGAACGAGAAGCACAAGCACACCGACTACATGAACAAGAGCGACGACTTCACCAGCCTGCTGGAGCAGGAGCGGGAGAGGTAACGCGTGTGCCACCGGCCCGTGGAGGCCGCAGCCCTCTCCCCTCTGTCCCTGCAGTCAGTCCAGGGACACCACGGACCAGTGCCCAGGGTCTAATTCGCATTTCTGAATGGTTTGTAAAGAGTGAGACAGACTTTTACCTGGAGTTATGAACGCGAATATGTTGGGGGTGCATATAAGTAGGATCCCACTTTCCCGCTAGGGTGTTGAAAGCCATAAAACCACAAAACTGGAAACAAACCCAGGGAGCTTATGTTTGAACTTGATCAACGAAGCACCTACATTTGAAAAGCCTCTCTCCTGATTGCCTTCTAGTGGGAATAATCTACTTTTTCTCTTTGAGGTTGAAATCCACTTATTCAGGAATACAAATTATTAAACTTAACCATGTAAAATGAATCCTATTCATTCTTAACGCCACTGTAGAAAATCTTAATATTTGGTTTTCGTAAATTACTTAATGACTAGGACTACCTTCTTAACTTTCTAAGGGTTGCGTAACTCTTAAAAAATGTAAAAATCAAAACACAAACTCACCATGTTGAGCCTTGATATCCATCCTTGTGGGGGTTTTTCCCAGACCAGAGATTGCCACATTTGAAGCAGGGACTCCAAACTGAAAAGCTTTGTAATTGCTCTTCTAGACTACCCAAGTTTTTCAACGTCTTCTTTTTAGCTTATTCTCTCCTTTCCTTCCCTCAGCTGATTGCTTGTGTCTGTGAATTCCACAATCTTTGAAACCAATGACATTGAATCTGACGCTTTGAGTTACCAAGTGTGTCTGCTTCCGTGTTTAGGGCTTGCAAATTAAGAGCCACTTAGGAACAGCTTTACTAATCCCAGCTTCATTATCTGTTTAGTTACCAAAAAGGGATCTAGTTTTCCCGGATTAGTTCACTTACAAGAAGAAGCTGTCACAATAAGACAGTAAATAAAAGCATGAAACAGAACAGGTTTGTGTTAAGTTTTTAAAAATTATTGGTAACGTTTACTTATTATTGGACTTGGCACATCCTTTGGGGAAGGAGAAACGGAAAAGAGAAGGATGGTTGGAGTGGTCTGCATAACGCTGTCAACTGACAGCTTCTTTAAGCCTGTCTTCTGCTCCTGTAAGCTAAGGCCTATCAGCTGCATGTCTGAACAAACAGATGATCTAATTTGACATTTTTGGGGTAACCAAAGTGATGTTAAAATCCACCTCCTCAATCTCTGTGAACTTTCCAAACTCAAGAACAGATATTGCAAACCAAGTTCCACTGTCTATAAATTGCGCACGTCTCCGCAGCCCTCCGGGTAGGTGCCCTGTTGGAATGTGGTCAGGAAAAAGAGCAGCAACTTGTCTGATATTGCCTTTGTAAAAGCTCTAAAATCAAGTAATTTTAAAGAACACGTGTGAATTAATCATTTCAAGATCACTTTACAGATTATTTTATTTAGAACCAGACCAAATATATCTTCTTTTGACAACTTCCCACCTGAACTAAATGCCTGAGCACCACCTTCCCTTACAGACTTGCTGTTTTGAACGAAGTGTGCGGATGGAGAGACGGTACTTACGCAGGCTGTGTCCTTTTCTTTCTTGTTTTCCTAATTTTTGTGTTCTGTGAGAGTAACTGAAATATTAACGCCTGATGGAGAGCTTTACAGTTCCCGAAGTACTTTTATACTCATTATACAGTGAGCCTGTCCCAGACGTGTTTGTTGACTGACTTCACGTTGATTCCCTCTAGGTGAACGAGTCCAATCCCTGCCCCCTTTTTGGAGTTGTTTAATTTTACTAAAACAACTACATAAACCATTTCTCCTGAGCAAAGTACTCTGTAGGTTTTTAAGATCAAAGTAAAATTTTAAAAAAATTATCTTAAGATGCTTTTGATAGTTTGATCAGCACCACTGGGCTATCTTACCAAACTTTCATGTTTTAGATAAGAATTCACTAAAAGACCCTTGACTCTTACTTAAAATATTAATCCACTTTAAGGTTTTGAAATAGTATTTTTTTTTATTTTCTGCTTTATCTCCCCAAACCCCCCTGGTACATAGCTGTGTATCTTAGTTGCAGGTCCTTCTAGTTATGGCATATGGGACGCAGCCTCAACGTGGCCTGACGAGCGGTGCCACGTCTGGGCCCAGGATCCGAACCCTGGGCCGGCGCAGCGGCGCGTGAACTTAACCACTCGTCCACGAGGCCGGTCCCTGAAATTGTGTTTTTGACTGAACAGGTTACACTTCAGTGCTTTCTATTTTTGCAGTCGGCGTTTCTTCCCAGGGCGGTGCCCTGAGTGCCCACAGTGCGCAGGCGCCTGGGCACACGCGCACTGAGGCGTCGGGCGAAATTCCCCGCCCCGCGGCCCGGCGCCCGAGGTCAGCGGCGCTCAGTTTCTCCGCCGGCTGAGACGTGCACGTGCCTCGCTCGCCCACTTCCCGCGGCCGTGAAGCCTTTAGGATTTTCTCAAAGGTCAGGCCTGGACTCCCTGCTGCCCTTTGGAGGCGTCCCTGCGGCATCTGCTTCGCCCTAAATCCTCTTTCGAAGGAAGCGGTCCTGATTAGCTGTCCCCCTGGGGGCCGGCAGGGTGCTGCCCCGGGCGTGGCCGTCCCCCCGCCGTCCCTCCGCAGCACTCCGCGCGCCTCCGGAGCCCTCGTGCGGGCGGTGCCCGGCCCCTGTGGGCTTCTTTGTTGTCCACTCCCTTCCCCTTCTCCGGAATGGTCTCTTTTGTGAGGGGGAAAAGGAGCCGAGAACATGCCTCCGGAAACGTTTCCCTTTGTTTCCACTGCGAGCAGGAGGAAAGGAAGGAAGGTCGTGAGCCTTGAGATAAGCCTGAGTGGGTGCTGCTGCTCCTCGCCCATCGTCCGCCCGAGGGTGCGGCTTTGCAGGCTGTCTCCACCCAGGCGGCGTGCCGGTCGTGTGGTGCGGTGATGGAGCGCTGCACAGCCAAAGGACCCTCCTGACGGCGGTGGCCCCTAGGCTCCATTGTCTGTAATTATCCTGCTCTGGAAGGGTTTCTCACGACCTCCGGAAAAGCAGTGAAAGATGACAAAAAGAGGTCCGGGATAAAGGATCAGTAGCAGGTGTTGACAAGCAATCCAGATTGAGATGTCTGATGAAGCAGTAACCCGAGGCTCTGAGCATTGCTGAGGACTCTTGAGGTCAGCCCTTTCAAGTCCCTCGTTCTGCAGGTTGAGGAATTGAGGCCCGGAAAAATTGCTTAGCTCAACTAAGATCACGGTGCCGACCACTGGTCTAGCGCTTCTGTGCAAACGAGGCCCTTGTGCAAAACGGCTTGTTTCATGTCTGCTTTCTGTGTGTGTGGGCTCCCCACCTCCATGCTCTTATGTCCAAACTGACACAAAATCTTAAAAGGCAGAAAGATGTTTATCGTGAGGATATGAACACAGAGACATTAGAACCAGTGGTGTCTCTACGCTGTCAAGATAGCAGAAGCTTGGAGACAGCCTCTGTTGGGAGGAGCCGCGTGGGGACCTGTTTGAACAGCACACAGTGTTCTACTTGGGTTGCATTCTGTTTGGGGTAGTTACGTTGGGAGGCTGATGATGGTAATGGGGGGCTAAATAAGGCCCTCCTCCAAGCTACCTCTTCCTTATGGCCACTGACCCAGAATCTGCAAGTGTGAAAAAGAGAAGCAGAAATTATTTTTCATCTTTCTGGAGTTATTAAATTCATCTTGAATAAAAACTCCACAAATTAAGTACCTGAAATGGGTAATATATTGTCTGAGGCCTCCTTTATTCTAAGTCGACAGACTGTGATCATAATTTATTATTATCATTTACCACATATTTATTTTTACAGTCATACTCCCAAATGAAAAAGAGGAAATATCATGAAAAAAATGCATTGGCTTAACCCGCATTGTTAATAATAAAGATGAAAATATTTCTCGTTGCATTAATCAAGACTGAGTAAAAAAAGCTCCCTTTCTAAATGCTATATTCTGTTTGGTTCATATTTTAAGTCAACTTGACCTTTAAAGGCATAATTCTGAGCACATGAGATCACCTTTGGAGTTTATACTTTATTCCCTGTCTGAACTACAAGACTTGTGATTTTAATCTTAAGCTTCAAGAATGTCAAAATAGAGAGAACACAGTTACATCAAAAAGTGTTCTGGAACTTAAATATTTGAGGGGCTGGTGTGTGTGTTACTGACAGAGGGGAGTGCTGTCTAAACCTATAACCGTAGATAGAGATTTTAAAGCTTTTGGATTCTATAGGCTCAGCTGGGACTACATAAATAATTACATCATCATGTAATATTGCAGCAAGCCGTCCAAGTGTAAGTTCTTTTTTTTTTAAAATACAAATCAGCATCTCAAGAGCAATCTCTAACTCATGAAGCAGAGAATGCGGGAGCAGAGCTTGGATGGAGGGACGCTCTGGAGCCCCGTTTTGGTGGTGTTTGTCTAGGTCAGTGTGAAGGCAATGGGCCCGCCGGCCGGTGGGTCAGGCTGTGATATTACACTTGCCTATGTCGGGGAATGACCAGTCAGAGCAGGCTCTGCTGCCCTGGGAACCTGGGAAATATTCTTGGCCCACTTTACAGAAAAAGATTCACATCTGGTTCCCTGGCATAATATCCTGAAGCTTTTTCGATTTAGATGCCTTATCTCTAAAGTATGGCAATAAAATGGACTTTTCTCAATAAAGCACTTTGCAGAAAAGATTGCTGATGATGTGTAAATGATCAAGTTTTATCAAGCAGAAAGTCATCAATCGGTGGAACACAGCAGCAGGAAACAATGGAGACTCTTCTCTGGGCTTAGCACTCTGCTAGATGCCGTTCAACAGCAGAGTTAGCTGTTATTAACCTCCCCAGGGTGCTGGACACATGTGCAGCCTGTTTGATTCTTATAAAACTGTATGATGCGTAATTACTATCCCTATTTGGCAGATGGGGAAGCAGACAGGTTAAGTTCCTTCCACCAAGGTCACTACCAACAGTTAATTGGAAGAATCAATGTTTGAGTTTACAGTAAAAAAAAAAAGAATAATAATAACCGTTTCTATTTCCAAGTTCTTACCTTCTGATTAAAATGAACACTTCATTTCCCCACTGTGTGGAGGAAGACAAGACGACTTGGAAAGTTGGCCAGTGACTTCTTGGACTGCACATCCATTCTGTTGCAAATTCAGGATTTAAATTCACAGACCTTAACTTGGTCACAAGATATGCCACCTACTGTCAGTGTCCTACCGGCCAAGAAAATTGCTGGGAATAGATAGTTTTTAAGAAAGGAGAGGAATTAGAATTCAGAGACTCAGTCACAGAAAGAATATGTTTTACAGTTGATTTTCTGAAAGAGCCCTGGAATCAAACTCCGCCTTCCAGTTCCTCTTACCCTTGCAATATGCAAATCCCACTTCCTACTAGAAAACGTGATTGAAAGGCAGGAGGCAGAGGTGATGCAGGGTTACCCCTAGTGACAGCCTGGGTGTTTGGGTTCCAGGATGGGGTAGGTGAGGACAGTGTAAAGGAAGTCATGCTACATCTTACAACCAGGGACCAGGCAATCAGTGACTCAAAAAGGTAGCTTCCCAGGGTTGGAAGTTTGCAGTTAGAAGAGGAGTTAATCCTCTTAAAAGACCCAGGATATTAACGTATCTACTAGGAGCATGTCACTCATCCTTCACTAGGCACTCCCTGCATTAAATATGAACAAGCCCATTAAAAATGCCCTTGAGATTCAGGTCACCAGATCCCACCTGTACAAAAATGCTGGGTGTTGGGTGGATGTGATCATTTCCCCAAGCTTCATAGCATCTTCATTCTCAAGCTCATTGAGTTAGCAGTCTCTCATCTAAGACTTTTCAGAGTCTTAGTAATATAACAGCCATGCCTAGGAAAATAGGTTACCTGATCAACAAAATTTTCTGATTAATCAAAGGTCTTATCTTTTGGATTTCAGAAGCAAGGATCTAGATATAGCTTTAAAAAGAACGTGTAAGCAAGTGGATCCAATTTTTATCACCATCTTTTTTCCTGTTTAGATGAGATGCTTCTCTGAGAGAGAAGCAAGAAAGCAAGAGAGGTCTATGTTGTGGGAGGAGGCAGTGCAAAAGAAGAGGCTCTGTTCTCAGCTTTATGGGGCAGGGGGTGGGAAGTGGGGAGAGGGAAGATGGAGAGTAACATAAACCCTCGGGAGATGTGGTGTGGAGAATTCGAGAGTGAAGACATTATTAGGTAGAGTCCAAGGATGGCTTAGTCGCGTGGGCTGTCATAACAAAATACAGTGGCTTAAACAACACAACTCTATTTCCTCACAGTTCTGGAGGCTGGAAGTCTGAGGTCAGGCTGCCAGAATGGTTGGGTTTGGTGAGGCCTGTCTTCCTGGCTGGTAGACAGCTCCCTTCTTGCTGTGTGCTCACATGGCCTTTCCTCTGTGCTGGCACATGGAGAGAGACACATCCTCTTCTAAGGCCTTTTCTTCTAAGGTCTCCAATCTTATCAGATCAGCTCTCTCCCCGATGACTTCATTTAACCTTTATCACCTCCTAAAAGCTGGATCTCTGAATATAGTCACACTAGGGGTCAGTGCTTCAACATGTGAATTTGGGGGACACAGTTCAGTTCACAGCAAAGGGCATGGCAAACCTGTGCTTCTCCCTCTAATAATTTGGGAGAAATAGAGTAAAAATTGGTGTCTGATATGTCCAGTTGGAGAGAGCTTGATACAGCTTCAGTAGCTTGTAATTCTAGAAAAATATTTAGTCTTTGCCCGTGTCCCTGAAAGGCCATGGGAATAGCTGAGGCACGGCTGGATGTGGGGAGGGAACTGTGACCTACTTGGATCAGCAACCTGAGGAGATTGACACCTGTCACTAGAGACCACAGTAGGCATCTGGGAGGATGTCACTGTGAAAGGATGGTTACCAGATGACCTCCCTGATGGGACCAGAATTTGGTCCCAACTCCAGAAATGGGTCCTGCCGCCCCAGACTTAACTCAGGAGACCCTGTCTTGACTGAGGAGTCTTTAAATTTACCAAGGGAAACCTGACTGGACTGAGCTTACCCAGAATTAACTAAGATAAAGTGGAAAGGGAGCCCATAATAGAAATGATGAGATACAGAAAAGTGAAGATAATTGTATTTCTTGCACACATGAATTTGAGGCTTGCAATTAGTACCTCCTTCACTAGTAAAATAATCCATACGTGTGCAAAGGAGAAATAATGTGGTATTGCGGCTGGTTCCAGAGTACTGATGGTGTGCTTATAAGTGTTTTGTGACCTTCAGAGGATCATCTGAGCTAAGTGTAACCTCTTCAACTGTGGTCATGTTGTCCCCTGGGTTACTCTAGCTCCATGGTGCCAGACCGTCAAAATCTGTAACCAGGAGGCAGCTGTTTACTCAGTCTCCTGCATTTCCTTTGGAGCCAGGTAGCTCTGAATTCAAATCCTGACTCCCACTTACTGGTCTGTAGCTGTAGAGAGGGGTGCTCTAACCCCTCTCATTCTTGGTTTCTTTGTCTATAGAGCAGGGATAACAGTACCGATCTCACAGAGTCCTTTATGTTTGTGAGATAATGAATAGAAAGCCCCTTCGACAAGGCATGGCATGTAATACCTAAAAGTGACTGTGTCTTCTGCTCACCTGTGTATCAAACACGAAGAGGAGAACAATGCAAGCTTCACTGAATCACAATTTATGTTTTATCAGACTAAGACTTTGAGAAGAGTGCAATGTATTGGAAAAGTAAACTCCTCTATTGTTTTGGAGTTGTTGTTTTTGTATGTAGATTAGACTAGACTTTGTAGGTAGACTCAGGAAAACAGAAAACTTACTGCAAACAGTTAGAGAATTCAGTAAAGTGAGTTGGCAAAGTACAAAACTACATAGACTCAATATCCAAAAATCAGTAGTTTTCCTGTTTCCAAATGACAAAATAATATAAACTATATTAAATATAAACTAACTAGGAATAAACTTAAGCATGTGAAAGATCTACATAAAGAGAAATTTTAAATGCTACTTAGAGATATGAAAAAGACTGAGACCAATGGAAAGGCTTACCATATTCTCGAACTGGAGAACTCCGCATCATAAAGATGTCATCTCCTTATATTAACTCGCGAGTTTAATGTGATCCTCATAAAAATACCATCAGGATTTTTTTTTTAAGTGTGAGAACTAAATGAAGCGATTCTAAAGTTTATATAAAAATATGAATTTTTTCATAGTCAAATATGAAAAAGCAAGAATAGTCAAATTTTAAAAACAAAAAGTAATAGAAAAGTTTTCTTTGAGAAACAAAAACTCATTTTAAAGCTACAATAAGTAAAACAGTGTGGTATTGGTAAATGAATAGACAGATCAATAGAGCTGGTGGAAGTTCTGAAAATAGATTATAGTAGCTATGGAAATTTAAAGACGGCATTCCAAATCCTTTGGGAAAAATTGGGACCCTTACTGATGGCCATTATTCTACTCATTTTTATATATACTACAGGTAATTTATTTTAAACATGGGGGACGACTGACCATATTTTAGTCAGGGTCGTTTCTCTCTGGCCTGATCTTGTTTCTACCATTTCACGAGAACCATCAATATAACAGTTGTGGTTTATGTTGAAGGGAGATTTAGCATTTACTTTTTAGGTTTTCAAAGAACTGGTAACTCCTATGAGATAAAAAAATTATATTTGAAGAGTAAAATATAACTATGAAATATATAGCTGGAAAACGATGACCTCCTTTCTACGAAAAAAAAAGCAATATTATGATTTTTAGCCACATAAAATTTATGAGAAATAAAATATGTGCTAACTATAGGCATCCTTTGGAACAAAAACTGCTATAGTAACTGCTGAGGTCATAAATTGCTGTATTTCTATAACTTTGTATATTCAAAGAATTAATAAATTAAAAAGAAGTGACATAACATATTTTATATCTTGAAAAGAATAAAAGAGCAAACCCAACTTGGACTGACTTGTTAGAATAACCTAGGGAGTAATTATTGTCTTTCCCAACAGCCACAGGAAACAAACTGCGTTCCTCGTGGACAGACGCCAGTCTGATGAGTTGGCCCTCACAGTGCACCGTGCACCACACTGAGGGCTGATGGAAGGCATGCATTCTTCACGGAAGGGATTGTGGGTTCTTGAGTGGAGTCCAGATACAAATCCAGTTATTTAGAAAGTCTAGTGCAGATTTGCCTTATAATTTTTGGATAAAAAAGTGATTATGATTGATATCACATTTGTATGCAAATAAAAATTTATGCCTATTTTCACCGTTAATCAGAGAGCCTGAGGAACTAGAGCAGATGGGGCGCTTTAAGAAACACACAATGAAAATCATCAGCAAATAACAAACAGGCCAGCTTTTATGGTACTTTAACAGGCAAATTTTGAGTCAATAATTACAGCTTCAGAGTCTACCCAAGTGGCAAAAATACAGTGAGTAACTAGTGCTTTGTAGTGACTCATATTTTTTTCTTCTTCCTGATCTACCAATACACTGATACTATCAAACGTACTCTGGGCACTTGAATGCCAGGCAACTGATCAATTCCGACAGGCATTCTGTATGTCAGAAAATACAAAACCAAAGTCTCCTATAGATTTTTTAAATTAATCTATTAAGCATTAGTGATATTAACTTATCACTATAAGCATTAGTGATCAGTTCCAGATAAAACAACTGAATCCAGATTGCAAAAGCAACTGCATTGAAAGTGAAAATTTCGGGGGCCGGCCCGGTGGCGCAGCCGTTAAGTGTACACGTTGTGTTTCTTGGCGGCCCGGGGTTCGCCAGTTCGGATCCCGGGTGCAGACATGGCACTGCTTGGCACACCATGCTGTGGTAGGCATCCCACATATAAAGTAGAGGAAGATGGGCATGGATGTTAGCTCAGGGCCAGGCTTCCTCAGCAAAAAGAGGAGGATTGGCAGCAGATGTTAGCTCAGGGCTAATCTTCCTCAAAACAAAAAAAAGAAAGTGAAAATTTCCAACAACTAATGGGGGGATTTTTGGTCCCCCAATTCCAAAGTAGTTGGATTGAGTTTTTAATTGAGCTGATGGTTTCTTCCAACATCATGGACAAAATCAGGTATTGAAAAGTAATAAGTGAAATTAGTCTTTTGGAATGAAAAAGTTTGGGAATGCTGCCCTAAATTGCCAGCTGTTTGTCACCACAATAAATACCAAGCAAATGTTTTTGCACAAATTCATATGTCAAGAAAGAATTAAGAAGGAAAGTGCTGGAAAATGTGTTGTCTCTTAGCACCACAGTGAATAACTCCATTACTGTGACATTTTTCCTTTTTTTCCAAGATGGAAGAAGATGCTCGGATTAGCATTACAAACCCTGGACTCCAGAGAGGGAGCTGGAACTGCGGAATGTGGTGTTTTCAGTGTTTGGAGTCTGCTCCTTTCTGGCTCCTTGACTGAGTGTGCACTTTTTTCCCAAGAATGCCTGTGTCTGGAAAGTACTTCACGCTGGTGAAAAGCTGGAACAGAAAAGATTAATCAGGGGCCGGCCCCGTGGCCGAGTGGTTAAGTTCGCACGCTCTGCTTTGGCAGCCCAGGCTTTCACTGGTTCGGATCCTGGGTGTGGACATGGCGCTGCTCATCAGGGCATGCTGAGGCAGTGTCCCACATGCCACAACCAGAAGGACCTACAACTAGAATATACAGCTATGTACTGGGGGGCTTTCGGGAGAAGAAGAAAAAAAAAAGATTGGCAACAGATGTTAGCTCAGGTGTCAATCTTTAAAAAAAAAAAAGAAAAGATAAATCAAAGGTTTGGTCTTTCATGCTCAGTGCGTAACGTATTCAGCTCTGGCATGTGAACTCTTAACCAAGAAACTATTCAAATAGTATTCAGGTGCTAAATGTGAGCTTCAACTGCAAACAAACTAGAAGTCAACTTCATTGAATCTTAACTCCTTCCTCTTAAGTTTAGAAATGCTATACCTTAAGGATTTTCTCTATATTTTCTGCATTGCTCCCAATGTCTTATGGGAATTCACTGAGAATTACTTTTATTTATTTTATTCTTAAATGCTTAAGGAAGTACATGTGTCTGATCTGAAATGTGAAGGAAACTGGAAGTGGTGGGCTATGACTGCTCCACATCCAGTGTGCTCTTAGAAGCAAAAAATGCTTTGGTCTCCCTAGTCTTTGTCATTTATTACAATGTCACCAAATCCTGTGTCCTAATCATGGAAATATTCTTACTTTACCCACTTATCTACGCCCACCATCCCTCCCTCCACTGCTTTCTGATTTGCTCAGCTTTCTATTGCTCACAGATTTCTCTGACTTCTGGCATCTGTAACATTTGAGAAGTTTTGGATTATGTTTCTCCCAAGGAAGGAGGCATAACTGTGTGCAGAACTACTGCCCAGACTTAATACACCATTACCAAACCTCCAGGGAGAGATCCTGGAACAATGTTCTTTCGCCCCAGCTGAGGAATGCAAGTGCAGGGCTTCTAGCGTATCCTATGACTTTCTTCCTCTCGCCTGCCCACTCCAGCCCCTACTGCATCCATTTCTCAAAGTTCTGGAGCACAACCTCCTCTACTGCAAAAAATGTCTCCTGAGATGAAAGCACGTTGAATTGGCAAGTCAAATGATTGCCCACACATCGAGCAACTTCCCACTTGCCATTTGCTAAGCTAGATCTTTCTCAGAAATGATCAGGAAACATGTCCTCTTTATCTCTTCTTTTCATGTCAATTTGAATAAGGAGCAATTGTGAGAAGACTTGGTTTTAAGAGCCGCTTATTCAGGTCATGATGCTCAGTGGCAACTAGCTTCTTAAGGCATGACGGGAGCCTGGTAATCTGTATCTAGGATCCAGGGCTCTAGGAAGTTACGATCTTAGAAGATCTCCACCCACAGTGGACTTAGGACATGACCTGGGGACCCATAATCACAATGATACTTTCTCTGTGCATTATATTACATTGGAGTACACATTTCAGTGAATACATGCCAAAAAGTTTGAGAGGGAGAGCCTCTCTTGTCACATGTGGAAAGGAAAATTACTAATCCTTTTTAAATGAAAATGGTTGTTTAATTCATTGAGTAAATGATAATTGAGTGAATGTCCATACTTGACCAGCCTATTTGGATGTTTAATAGGCTTCTCAAGCTAATATGTCCAAAATGGGAACCCTTGGTTACTTCCTGAAAATCTGTTCCTCCCAGTTGTGTCTATTTCAGTTAACAGTACTTCCGTCTACTCCCTCAAACTAAAATGCTAGCATTCATCCTTAATCCTTCTCTCTCTCAACCTTCTAAACGTAACCACCAGAAAGTTGTATTGATTCTGCTTCCAAATTATATCTGGAATTTGTACATTTTCCTCCAGAACCCTTGCCACCCAAGATAAAGTCTTATCAAGCTACCATCATATTGCTTGTCTGGGCTATGACAACAGCTTCCTTTAGACATCTTGTTTCCATTCTTGTCCTTCCTGCCCTCAAGTACGTTCTCTATGTATTAAGTCATATAATCAGATTCTTCAGAACAAAACCCAATGCCTTACCAAGAGGTGGCAAATTGGGCGAAGTCAATTTGTTTTTTTCTGATTGTCAGATCTTATTGGAAAATATTGGTAACTCATGACAAATGATATGTCACGATGAAAACAAGTCTCCAACTGAATCTTGCTACACATACAGCTATTAGTAAGAAGTACTAGTAAGCTTGGTGAAGTTTCGGCCCATTGTCCTTTAGACATGCCAACAAGCTCCCGGTGTGAAAAGTTCAATCAGGCAGACGCAACAACATTCTAGCTGCAGGATCAGCTGATCTTCTGGTTAAATCAGGTGATGGAATCCTCTGCTGTGTTGGGGGGACAAAGAACCCAGTGGAGGCCTGGGTCTAGAGCCACACTCCTAAGGACACCAGGCTGCTGGCTCACCAGGCTCTTGTGTCTCATGTATACAAGGATGGAGGTGCCACATGTCTTGAATCACTCATTTTATGAATAAAATAATTTCTAATGTTCCTTATGCTAATTAGAAACTCTTCTCGTGCACGTTGAAGCCCTTGTATCTTGTCAGCGCTGCCTCTGGAGCACATGCTCCTGATAAGGATACTTCAAAATGTTAACCAATTACCCCTTCCAGCCATTCGAATGGCTCCTTCCTCTGCTCTCCATGCTCTGGTCACACTGGCCTTCTTTCTGGACCTGGAACCTCCCATACTCATCCCCACTGCAGAGTGCTTGCCCCTGCGGCCCCTGCCTCTGCTCTTTGCAGGGCTGCTGCTTTTGATCCTTCAGCTTCAAATGTCACTAGCTTAGAGAAAGCCTTCATAGAGCAGGGACCCTGCCCTCAGTCACCTCCCTTGAAAACACCCTGCTCTTTTTCCTCAGGGCACTTCTAGCTGGAGTGGGAGCTCTGTCAGTATATGGACCTCGTCTATCCTGTTCACACCATATTCCTAAAGCCTAATACAATGCCTGGTCTTTGGTGGGCAACCAATTAAGAATGAGTGAATGCAGTAATCATCAGGGAAATGCAAATCAAAACCACCATGAGATGTCACCTCACACCTGTTAGATTGGTTATAATAAAAAATATAAGAGATAATAACTGTTGACCAGGATGTGGAGGAAAGGGAACACTTGTGCACTGCTGGTGGGAATGGAAGTCGGTGCAGCCTCTATGGAAAACAGTATGGAGGCGCCTCAAGAAGTTAAAAATAGAAATACAATATCATTTAGCAATCTCACTTCTGGGTATATACCCAAAGGAAACAAAAACAGGATATCAAAGAGATATCTGCACTCCTACATTCATTGCAGCATTATCCACAACAGTCAAGATATGGAAACAACCTAAATGTCCACCAACAGATGAATGAATAAAGAAGGTGTGGTGTATATATACAATGGAATATTATTCAGCCAAGAGAAAGAAGGAAATCTTGCCATATGGGGCAGCATGGATCGACATTGAAGCCATTAGGCTTAGTGAGATAAGCCAGACAGAGAAGGACAAATACTGCATGGTATCACTTATATGTGGGGAAAAAAAAAGTCAATGGGGCCAGCCTGGTGGTGTGTTGGTTAAGTTTGTGTGCTCCACTTCGCAGCCTGGGGTTTACAGGTTTGGATTCTGGGCATGGACATACATACCACTCATCAAGCCATGCTGTGGCAGCATCCCACACACAAAAAATTGAGGAAGATTAGCACAAGCGTTAGCTCAGGGCAAATCTTCCTCAAGCAAAGAGAGGAAGATTGGCAACAGAGATTAGCTCAGGGTCATTCTTCCTCACCAAAAAAAAAAAATGTCAAACTTATAGAAACACAGTGTAGAAAAGTGGTTGTCAGGGGCTGGGGGTGGGGGGTGAGGTAAATAGGGAGAGGTTGGTAAAAGGGTACAAACTTCCAGCTGTAAGACGAATAAGTCTGAGAAGCTGATGTGAAACATGGTGACTATGGTTGATAAGACTGAACTGTATAATGGAAATTTGCTAAAAGAGTAGAACTTAAATGTTCTCACCAAAAAAAAAAAAGTGAGGTGATAAATGTGTTAATTAACTAGAGGGGGGAATTCTGTTACAATGTATATGTATATCAAATCACTACCATGTACATTTTAAATATCTTACAATTTTTGGTTGATTATACCTCAATAAAGCTGAAATTAAGAAAAAAGAATGAGTGAATACAAGATCCTTGCTGGAGACAGAAAGATGTGGTCCTTGCCCTTCAGGATCTAACAGCGGGATAATTATAGCTACTGTGACTCTAAGGATGGCTCTATCACCCATTTAAACATCTCCTCTAGGTTCCAAGAGGCTCCTAATAAGTATGTCATTTAGCCAATGAATCTTAATTAATTATGATAAATACAGCTATTTTAAATGAGTTTTAATAGCAGGACTTTAAGTTAATTTTGAATGTGTCTTTTTTTTTAAGCAAGGAAGGAAAAAACATGTCTGTGATTGACATTTATGGTGTTTGTTTTAAAGATTTTTCAAAGGTAATAAACCATTTCCTCTTGCTATTATCATTAGTGTCTGGATATTGGTTTGATGTGATTTTGAACGTAATGCTCCCTGAGACTATAACTTTTGCTTGAATCACCAGCAGCAGACTGAGTGCAAGACTCCACTTGACTAGACGATCAGTTCTGACCCCTTGATTCTCCCTTTCAATATGGGTTTATATTGTCTGTGTCAAAATTAGACCACAAATTTCTATTTTTGAAAAGTGCCTACCATCGTCAAAATGAGTAAACTGTGTATAAACATATTATTTATTGTGTGTCCACTGTGTCAGATTCTGTGGCCTTGACTCATCCTACTTAATTTCTTCTAACAACCCTGCAAGTTAAAATCCATATCCTTATTATACAGCTGAGTAAATTGAGACCAGAGGAGTTATAAAACGTCCTCTTGGGGGCCGGCTCCGTGGCTGAGTGGTTAAGTTCGCGCGCTCCGCTGCGGCAGCCCAGGGTTCGGATTCTGGGCGCGGACATGGCACCGCTCGGACATGGCACCGCTCGGACATGGCACCGCTCGTCAGGCCACGTTGAGGCGGCGTCCCACATCCCACAACTAGAAGGACCTGCAACTAAGATATACAACTATGTACCAGGGGTTTTGGGAAATAAAGCAGAAAAAAACAAAACAACAACAACAAAAACCAACAAAAAAAAACATCCTCTTGGTTATCTACCCAGTAGGTGCCAAGCCAAGATTCAATCTTGGGTCTGTTAATTGCCCAGAAGTCCCTTTTCCCCAGACCAGTGCAGCCTCGCACACAGCAGGTGGCAGCAGCAGTTTTTTCTTGAATTTCAGTTTTTCCATCCATATTAAAATAGCTGCAAAAAGAACCCCTCCAAAGAACCAAAAACAACAACTAATTGGTTCAGTATCTGTAATCTTACCTCAACCATGAATGCTGCTTTACGTAACTTCTACCACAATAACTCAATAATCAAACACATTTATGCAGAACTGCAACTAAGTTCACGCATTAAAAAAGACAGACGTGTTCTTAAAGCAGAAGGCCTGAGTGAACGTTACGGACGTAGGAAAGCAATTATCTTTAACTTACTTTTCCTTCACATTCTTTTCTATGTCATAACATAGTGCCTTGTATTTATATAACATGAAAGATATCTCAAGACTTAAAAATACTCTCCGAACATTTGATTCTGTTAACTTTAAAGTTAATTTGACTAATTTATCTGATATTATGCTTTTATTCTGTAATTAAAATGGAATTTCTTAACATAAATGATATACATATTCTAGGTATATGGGTTAGAAAAAATTATGCTGAAACTTTTAAATTACCTACTGGCTTTTTGATTGAATTATCACTCACTCACTCACAGACCCATTCAAGAAAGGAAGAAGGAAGGAAACAAGGAAAAGAAAGAGAAAAGAGAGAAAACTAGTTTGAAAGTGGCAGATTTTGAGAACATTTGTATGAATGATGATACAGATGCTCCTTGAAATTTGGCTGAGTGCATTCACCGCTTTGTGTGGACAGCACTTTTTTGCCATTTCAAAACACTTTCAGGAAAGAAATAAATTTAGGTAAAAAAAAAAAAAACTTCTAAGGCACAATAATCCTTAAACTAAAGGGTAGTTGGCATTTTATAGCCCGCACTGTGGTGTGTTCGTGTAGATAACATAAACTAACCTGCACTTTGGTTGAAACGTGAGTCCGTCCTGTGGGTCGACTCAGAGATGCGTCTCTAGGGGGTCCCTGGTTAACGCCAGCGCATGTGAGATAGAACTGTATAGAGCTCAGCTAGTTTGAAAAATCAGGCGTGAGGCCCACGCGGCATTTTATGCATATCTTTTCTTTATCTCATTCTTCCTCCCCAGCTTTCCCCTCCCCAGTGCCAGAACATAATTCCCTTTCACTTGCTTTGCTTCTTAAGAGGTGCTTTCTCCCCCGGTCCCGGGTAGCTCCACCCCTTTCCACAGACAAAGTAAATCTGCACAATAATAAAGGTCTAAGGGAGGAATGACATCATCGTTCGTGGTCCCAAGCTGTTCTGCACAACATTCACCTTTCACTGTTCTGATGGCAGGGCTGGAATGGGACGGTTAATTCCCTACGGAGGAGGGGCTGAGCAGGGCCTGCTGCTGTCACGCAAACCAGTACTCCCTTAGAAAAAACAAAAACAAAACCAAAAGCTCCCATGCTTCCTAGTATTAAGGTAAGGAAGTCAAGATCTGTTTTGATTTAAGCAACATTGTTGCTGTAGTCCAAGGGCATTTCATTTGTTAACAGGCCGAGTTGGCAGTAAACTCATTTCTAAGTGTTGTTGCAAAGAGCATCTTGGAAGCTGGGTTTGGACATTTGTAGAGCCTCGACTAATCTGACAAGGGCTGACAGAGCTCACAACCTTTCAGCTTTCGGCTACAGGTTTTACTGAGTGTGCACGGTGAGAACCCTTGAAAATGCCCAGCTTATTGTGACTTTTCTTCATACTTCAGAATCCTTGACAGGAACTGGTGGAGATGCACTTTGTTGTGGTATGAGGCGTGCTCCTGTTTTTCTGTGGAGGGAAAATAGTCTTGTCCTGCAGAAACTTGGGGAGTTTGTATAAGACGGGAAGTCTCCCATCTTGCTGCTGTCAGTCTTTCTCATGTGCTCTGAAGGCTTTTAACAGACAGCCCTTCCATGTATTGTAAATGTATCTCCTAACTTAGGATTTCTTGATGAGCAAAAAACTAATTTGAGGTAAAAATATTATTTTCAAAGTTTTTTGTTGTTGTTATCTGGATTTTCTGCAGCTCTTTCTTTGCACACGTAGAGAAGCCTTGTAAAAGTTGGTAATAAATTAGAATGCACAGTGATCCAGAGAGCTGTTTGTTCTGAAACAGTCAGTGTGGCAGTGATAATAAGAATAATATAGCAGATAGGAGGTTTGATTTCAAAGTGGGAATGGGATTAAAGGACTATGTTAAACAATTGTGTAAAAAGTTCAACTTTAGTAATTTTTCAAAATGCCAAAGAAACATTGTCTGAGTCCAGCAGAGTATATCAAAATAAACAGCTCGCATTAGCGCTCAGTAGGGCTGGAGGGTATTCAGTGTTTCACGAAACAACTGCGCTTGGCCCAAGCCAGGTTTTTACAGTGTGATTGCAGCACATGACCTGTTTAATAGAAATTCTAGCGTAAGGGCAGACGGTACGGTTTTCATTTGTGTAGATTTAATTCTTTATCACACTGACTGTTCATGACGTTTTGTCTGTGTGTTTAAAGCAACGACAATCTTCAGCTCAGCTGGGATGAAAACCTTGGGCGCCCTGTGCTGACCTGCTGGGTCCTCACCTCCACCGGGCCAGGCGAACTGTTTCCGTGTCGAACGACACATCCTCTGCGCAGCGGAAGGGCGCTCACACTTCTCTAGACTAATAGTCAGGATCCATGCAAAGTTGAATCTAGGGTTTTGGAATTTTGTTTATTGTTTTGACTTTTTATTTTTTGCATTAGCTTTAAAGTTCCAGTTCCAAAACTGGATAAAATCATTATTAGATAGTGAAATTTAGTGAAATTTCATGTATGCTTACATTTAAAAGTTATTTTTAAGACCTTTAGATGCAATGGCAATAAAATTCTACTGCCATTTCCAGGAGGGAAAGGGTTATTTTTCTGAGTAAATAAATGCATGGGAATGCACTAATACCAGTGATTTATGTATTTAATTTAATTTGCTACTTATTTCCTGTCTATATTATTTTAAACAAATCTTATTTATGAAAATAGATTTACCCAAGAGATGAATTAGCTTAATAGTATCTTAATGAAAGGCTTTACAAAAGGAAATGTTTTTATATGGGAAGCTCCCAGATTGTATAAGCTTAAAGCCATAATGTATAAGATTAAAACCTGGCTTTTGCCCAGCGCTCTATAAGTGCATATATGGAGTAGAATGAGGTAGATTTGTACCTTTGTGGACTGTCCTCACCTCGTTTGAATAGTCTTAGGAATCTGGTTCATGCTCCCAGCTCCTCCCCTCATGTTCTGTGACCACGAGGACAGCCCACGGAGGAGAGGTCTCTCTCCTTAAGCACTGGGAGGACACCCTCACACTGCGGTTGCAGGGACCTAAAAACCCACATGCCTCAAAATATCCTCCCACTCTCTCACTTCCCTAGGTAAGCTCCCCCAAGTTAGCTTATTTTCTGAGGGAGAGAGTTTTGGTGATGGCGCGCAGATGTTACCTAACTGGAGAGTCCGATAATCAGGTGTGATGAACTGGGTGACACGTTCTTTGGGAATGGGTGAGGAAAGGTCTCTTTGGGTCAGAGTGAGGGAAGATGAGGGGCTACTTGGAAGAAAGAGCCCAGGGCCACACATTTAGGTGGCAAACTTCTATGGTTCATGACTTTTTCTGTTCCTTATGAAAATTGTTAAGTAAATTTATCCACCTGGCTGATTCTTTATAAACAACATCAAAAAAAAAAAAAAAAGAAGAAGAAGAAGATCTTCTTTTCACTGTTTTAAAAATATTTCCTCTGATCATTCTTAGGGTGTTTGAAAAGTACTTTGAACAACTTAGGAATATGAAAACACAAATGAAGACATATTATTGTGGGTAGAAATTACTCATTCATGCCCATGAGATAAACAACAACATTTTCAGGTCTCAAGAATGAAATTATGTTTTCCATTGCACCAGTAGATGCACCTCCCTCTCCATTGTCTTTGAAGAATTCATTCTCATTGGAGGAGAAAGATACAAATTGGCAGTAAGTTCCAGTTTAGCATTATTACTAATAGTATCTACCATTTACTGAGTACTTAGCCCTTTCCAGTAATAATTCATGTGACTCTGACAGCAACCCTGTGAATAGATACTATCACTTCCCTCTTATAGAGGAGGAAACTGAGGAAGAGAGAAATTAAGAAACTTGTCCAAGTGAGTGGGGGGCAGAGCTAGGCTCCAACCATATGGTCTGGCTCTAGAGCACACACTCTGAGCTACTACCCTGAGCGCTGACGATTGGCTTTGAGATGACAAGTATCAAAAAGATATACAGATATTTTTGACAATGAACAGTATTGGCGTGATTGAGTTTCATAGAGATTAGTTTTCTATACAAATTACTACACATATTTTCATATTTGGTCTTCTATCAGCGGCTAGTCATTTTTTTCCCTCCTGAATATTCCCATTCATCTTTCATTATTTGTGGTCTTTCTCCTTTATCATCCAGAAATTTTCCAGCTCTAAAGAACCTACAGTACAGAATGAAACAGATAGAAAGCTAGGCTTCGGGCCTGTTGTTGGGTCCAAGGCAAGGCCCTTCCCTACTGCTTGGCCTTGAGTGGGGACAGACAGGCCCCTCTGTGTCTAGTTTGAGGGAGAGCAGGAGCACCACTCTGCCTCCCCTCTTCTGTCTTCAGCTTCACTGTTGTTCTTGTTCCTGCTCCCCAGCATTGCAATATGTCTATGTGTCTATAAATGTGTTATTCTTTCTTTTTCCTCAACTCTTCACTGACCCTCTCTCAACCACTACTATCTGTGTCTTCTCTTTTCTTGGATTTGTCCTATTATCCCAACCTCCAAATCTGTATCAGGGGAAATTATGATGCATATAAAGTGTGTGTTGGGTGTAGAGAAGGGAGGTAATCCTGCGCCCTGAAATTTACATGTTGTATGATCTGTTCAGGGTTACAGCAAAAACCCAGGTGACTCTAATGGGGTAATTTGACAAGGTTATACAAATGTGGGTAGAGTGTAGGGAGGCTAGTAAGGGAACTGCAGTTCCCTAGGGCTAGGAATTTGGGGGATGGGGGAGTGCAGGAGTGTGTACTTCTTACTACCCATTAACTTGGAGGAGGGAGTAGTTACCAGAACCCTCAAGAGTAACTGTATCTATAGGAGAAAGCTGTCTAACAGGGACTATGGCCCTTAGTAGGAGAATGAAGCCAAATATCCAAGACTCAGGAGGGAATTAATACCCCATTCTCCAATCTCCTGTCACTGCCTCCTACTGACTAAACCAAAACAGATGGAAACTAGAAAGAGCTTGTTAATACAATGCCTAAATGTCAGCCTCCCGAGCACATAGCAGGATTGAGAATGTGGAGAGTGGAACAGGAGAGGTAAATGGAAAACATGTAATGCAAAGGATAATAATTAGAAGTATAGAGTTTTGTTATTAAATGATACAATATACAAATTAATAGCTTGGTAATTTACTAACTTAATAACACTTTTTTTCTACAGCTGCATATAACATTTCATAAATTCATTTCATAAATTGAGTTGATGTTCTCATTCAAAAACACTTCCCACCAAGAGCTTCTGAGTCCTGATTTGCTTCCCTCACAGGTTTATAAAACTATACTTATTTTTCAAAGATGACTAAAATTGAGATCTAAAGAGAACATTTTAAAAAGTCATATTCTAGAGAAGACCTAGAAATTTATCTTTCCCATGCTGGCTCAACTGAGTTGAGTTTTTCAAAAAGATAGTTTTGCCCTCTGCTCAAGTCAGTAGAGCCTTGAGGAAAATTTGGGCGATCATAACCATCTCCCTAAGATTCGACATGGTACTACTTAGACCAGTTGGCTAGATTGTGATGCTGATGGGGCTGCCAGTATGGTCAACAAGTGGCAACATCATTCATATAGTCACCCGTGTCAAAATGTAGGAATAATCTTTTATAATTCTTTCTACGTTAATCTTCACATTCAATCAGTCACCAAAACCAGACAATTCTACATCCTAAGTATTCTTACAATCTCCTTTTTTTGTATTACAGTTGTGATCTTAGTCTAGTCCTTTTTTTGGCTTGGAAAATTCCAACACTTTCATAACTGGTCTCCATGCCTCTAGTTTCCCCTCTGTAATCCATACAGCCAGCCACATTGTGCTCAGAATGTTCTAATATCCTTATTTGATATTATCACTGTTCTTAGAGTCCTTCAAGAACTCTATAATGCTCAGGATGGAGCCCGTCTCCTTAGGATGACATACAAACTGCTTGATGATCTGACCTCTACCTTCCATTGGAGTCTTATCTCTTGACACTTTCCCACCTCTGACTGTGCTCTCTGACATTGACTCTGTGCTGTTCTGAATGAGGTTCTGTTTTCTTGCATTTGCATGCTTTTTCCCCTTTACATGGTGCATCATTTCCCCCTGCTTCTTCTGGATAACCCTCGTTTGTTCATTCATTGAACAAATATTGATTGAACACCTGCTATGTGTCCGGCACTGTGTTAGGGGCTGGTGTTCAGCTTTGGACGCTGCTCTAATGGAGCTTTTGCTCTGTGGAGAGGTGGGAAGACAGACAACATCTAAGTAAACTAATAAATGAACCAGATGATTTCAGATAGTGAAAGAAATAAATAGGGTGATATGATAGAGAGCGGCTGAACAAACCACTTTCAATAATTTGGTCAGAGACTGCCTCTCTGGGGAG